ATTGGCATATGGGCGTTGTTTAAAAAAACAATTAGGGAATGTGTAAGGAAGATCAATGTTGTAGATAAGCTTTTGATGTATTACATAGTTTTTTTACTAGTATTATTGTATGATTATTTTATTTATTGGAATTGATTTATTTCATGTTTGTTATTATCTCCTATTTTGTAGCTAGATTTCCTATCCTTTTGTGTACTGTTTATAAAAGGATTTTATGATATTTGAATAATACAACAAGATATTGAATTTATCATGGTATCAGAGCAAGAAACCTAGCTACTCTGCGAAACCCTAAACCTTCATCGCCATGGCAACGGACGATGATGAATCTTCTAAAAAGAATAGTAACAACAACAACACACCATATCATGACTCTCCTTACTATATTCACCCATATGATTCACCTAGACAGTTGCAAGTCAACAAGTCAAAACTACATGGATTAGGTCCAAGAGATGGAGAACTTCTTGTTCGCCAAAAACAAGATTGGCTTCATAGACGACACCATTGTGGAACCAGAGAAGACGTCGAAGGAGTATATGGCATGGATAAGATGTGATTTAATGATAAAGGGATGGCTTACTATAGTCGTGGAGAAAGAAATAAGAGCAATCGTCAAATACGCCAACACTGCTTCAGAAATATGGTTGGATCTTCGTGAAAGATTTGGAAAAGAAAGTGCTCCTAAGGCTTATGAACTAAAGAACCAACTCACCACCACCCAGAAAGACGGGACCTCTGTGTCTTCCTACTACACCAATGTACAATCATTATGGGATGAGATTCAATCCACCTTCCCTACACCAAAGTGTACTTTCAATGGGTGCACCTATATAATAGGGAGACGTCTCATTGAGCATCAGGAGAAGGAGAAGTTGTATGAATTTCTCATGGGCCTAGATGGTGACTTTAATGTCATCAAAACTCAAATACTTGCCACTTCACCAACACTGAATCTAGGATCATCTTATCACCTTGTCGCTGAAGACGGACGTTAAAGAAACATCACCAAAGATAAGAAACCCACCATAGAGGCAGTTGCCCTCAAGACCTTTGTGCCCAACAAACAAGACGAGAACTCTTGGAATAAGAACAAATTAAATTAGATTTTCACAAAGAAAGAGGCCGATACCCAACGTTGCACCTTTTGTGATAAAGATGGTCACAATCATGATGGGTGTTTCAACGTACTATGTACCCAGATCGATGGTCGGGCAAGGGAAAAGTGGACAAAGAAAAACCAAAAGTTGCTTGTGTTGACACCAACCCTATCCCTGGTCTTACAACAGATCAGTATGAAGCTTTTTTGAAGTACTTTGGAGGACCCACTAAACCGGAAGGTGAAGAAACCATGCTAGTGGCTAACATGACATGGAGATTTGGTGATGAAAACGATTGGGTCATTGATTCCGATGAAACTAAACATACGAATTATAGGGCGGACATTCTCTCCAACAAAACCAAACATGTATATGATAGGCATGTTGTGATTCCTAATGGAGATGTCATACCGGTTGAAGGGAGTGGAGATTACCTTACCGAGTGGCATTAAAATTGAAGGAATCCTTCATGTTCCTCAATTTAATTGCAACCTTTTATTTGTTAATCGGTTAACAAAAAACCTTCAATGTGCCATAACCTTTTTTTCCGGATTTTTAGATTATGTAGGGTCTCCGGTCAAGGAACTTGATTGGTGCATGTGATTGTCGAAGGGGTTGTATCATATGGGGATTTTCGAAGAAAGGAGAAAGGCTATGCATGTCACGATAGATAGATGGCACAAAAGATTGGGCCATGCTTCAAAAGGAAAGTTAGTTAAATTAGATTTTCTTAAAAACATTGCTTCTAGTTTTAAGAATAAAGTATGTGATTCCTACTCAAAGGAAAAATATATTAGGTCTCCTTTTGTTTTAAGTCAAATAAAGACAAGTCAATGCTTTGAGTTAATTCATTGTGATGTTTGGGGAAAATAATGTATACCTTCCCTCACGGGTGCCAATTATTTCCTAACTATTGTTGATGATTTTAGTAGGTCTGTATGGATTTTCATGATCAAAAACAAATATTATGATAGTAGGTGTTTAATCAATTTTCATAAAATGGTTGAAAATCAATTTGGGAAACAAATCAAAAGAATAAGAAGTGATAGTGGTGGTGGTGGTGAGATCATTTCCCATGTCATGGCCGATTTTCACAAAAAAACATGGCATTCTATTTGAAACAACTTGTCCTCACACACCCCAACAAAATGGGGTTGTTGAGTGCAAGCACAGAGATCTTTTGGATATAGCCCGTGCTTTAAGATTTGAGGTTGGTCTTCTAAAGAAATTTTGCGGAGAGTGTGTATTGACTGCTGCCTACTTAATCAATCGGTTACCATATACATCTCTTTCAAACAAAACTCCATATGAAGTGTTATTTGGCGAGAAATGTGATTATGGACACATGAAAGTTTTTTGGTTGTTTAACATATTACATAAGCAATGAAACCAAAGGTGACAAATTCAAAGTGCGGGGGAGACCATGTATTTTCTTGGGCTACCCACATGCAACAAAAGGGTTGATGCGAACCAATATCAACGACTGATTGGGAGACTCCTTTATTTGGGAGCAACAAGGCCCGACATAGCTTACTCAGTCAACATTCTTAGCCAGCATGTCGCTGATCCTAGACAGCATCATCTTGATGCTCTTTTGTGTGTTCTTCGTTATCTCAAGGTTTCTCCTGGTCAAACAATTCTTTTGCCGATATTAGGTGGGAATGATCTTGTGGGCTACTCTGACTCCGATTGGCTTGGATGTCGCATGACAAGGCGTTCTCGGACAGGTTATCTTCTCCTTTTAGGATGAGCTCCAATCTCTTGGAACTCTAAAAAACAATATGTGGTTTCCCGATCTTCTGTTAAAGCTAAATACCGAGCAATGGCCACCACTGTTAGTGAAATCATTTGGATGCGTTGGATGTTAAAGGAATTAGGCGTTGATCAACATGGTTCTACTACTCTTTTTGTGACAATCAAGCTGCCCGTCACATTGCTAATAACCCTGTCTTTCATGAACGCACTAAGCATGTGACGATGGATTGTTACTTTGTCCGTGAGAGAGTGGATTCAAAGGAAGTTTAACCTATGCATGTTGATACCAAGTTATAGCTTGTTGACTTGTTCACGAAAGGTTTAGGTTCCCAACATCTTCGTTTTCTTCTGGACAAGTTGGGCATTTGTGACCTTCATGCTCTAGCTTTAGCTTGATGGGGAATATTGGAATTGATTTATTTTATGTTTGTTATTATCTCTTATTTTCCAGCTAGATTTCATATTCTGTTTTGTATTGTTTATAAAAGGATTTTATGACCTTTGAATAATACAACAAGATATCAAAATTATCATTATTTGGGTGCTACTGTGTGTGTTTGTGTTTCATTAATTGTTTATACAGGGAAAGAATAGGAAGAGCAATAAACGTGAATAGTGAAGATTGCAAATCATAATGGGTAGTACATGTAATTGGGTTCTTATTGAAAATCATTTTGATAACCATTCTAGAAACCGGATTAAGCCAAAATTGTTTGAAACCATGGATGAACAAAGTATAAATTGAAACATAGGTTTGGAGGATGGAAATAAATCAACTTCTTTAATCTATTTTCTGTAAAAGGAGAAAAGGGAAAAGGGATGTTGTTGACGGAGGTATTGGATTGAAGTTTATATGTGTCATCAACTTGTTTTGAGTCAAAATTGTTTGAAGGTATATTTGTAGATAGAAAATCGTTTGGGATTAAATACAAAAAGAGTAAGGTTTATTATTGGAATTGCAAGTGGATCAGATGGCGATTGGAGGAGTTGTAGGTGGCCGCCTGAGAAGACAAAAGGAGGAGGGTTGTGGGAAAGATTATGGTGGTAGTGTGGAGGGGTTAGGTCCCTTTATATTTCTCTTCGTAAAATAAAACGTTAAAAATGATTAAAAACTGATGGGGATTTTTTTTTTAATAATAATAATGGCATAATGAAAAAAATTAAAATGGTAAAATAGACATTTCAACTTTCCAGAGACCAATTCTATAAAGAAATCTGTTCAAAATGACTGCATCCAAAATTGTGGGGGCTTTGATCAAAACCCAGAAAAAATGCAAGCCACATGGAATATTTTTGCTGTTTTGTCTGTAAATTTGACAATTATGAAGGAAAGCTTATTTTATATAAAAATTAAGAAAAATAGATATATATTAAGAGTCAAATACTTGAAAAATTAGAGGCTTGTAAAAAATAAGTTTAATGGTGTACGTCTGTCGCTCAACATGTGAAAAGGATTTGCTTGACGTGCTTCACCATGCATGACCATCTAGAAAGAAAAGCTCCGTGACCATGGAAAATCAGCATGGTTAGAAAGATAAAAGAAGCGTCTGCAAATTTTTTTACTAACTAAGAAGTCATGAACCAAATTTTAACAAACTATTATAATGACGAACGCTTTTTATGTTACATATATATCTCGAACTCAAGCAAATAACAAAGGACCATATGGTAGTTAAAAGGTAACACCTAACAAAGTCACTCAAATTACCCACAAAGTACTCGACACAACACAGTGAAGACAACAATTGAAATACAAATAACAATGTTTTGAAAAACAGCATGGTGCTGATTCCAAACAACCGGGACTAGACTATTACAAACACCATACAAACTAAGCGTGGTGTGTTTTCTTGATCCACAATTCCTGTCGAACCCGAGTAAGACTCCCACTCGTTAGTACTATATGGGATTAACGGGACACCATAAAGATCAGATTGCTCTACTTCTAGAATCAGGCTTTTAGATTCTACATGTGCTTCTTGATGTTGAACCCAAGGATGAGTTGTAAACTTCCTTAAACCCTCTAGTTCCATTGCCACCTCTGTCATAGCAGGTCTATTTTCTCCTACCAAGTTAAGACATCTCTTTGCTATTTCAGCTACTGCCTCTAACTGCTCAAGAGTCCCTTCACGTAACAGTCGTGGTTCAACAATTTGGAATAGACGGTTTTCTTTCATTGAATTGACAAAGTATGTGGCCAAGTTCTTTTCCTCCATGGTTGTACCCAAGTGTGCCTTGAACAAGAGTTGTGACTTGATCGTGATCTAAAGGGACCATTCTTGAAGCACCAAGATCTGACACTTTTGTGGTGTAGTTATCATCTAATAATATATTGGCAGACTTGACATCCCTGTGTATGATAGGCATAGAAGCTTGTGAATGAAGGTATGCAAGTGAAGCTGCAGCTTCAGCAGCAACTCTCAACCGATTCTCCCATGATAACCAACTCATTCCACCCGATCTATGATGAATGTGATAGAAAAGTGTGTTGTTAGAGATGAACTCATAAACTAATACTGGTACCTCCTCTTCCAAACAACAGCCTAACAGCTTAACCACATTACGATGGATGACTTGTGTAAGGATAGATACTTCATTGACGAATTGCTCTGCCTGTGTCTCATCAACTATTTTAGACTTCTTTATTGCAACAACACGTTTATCAGACAAGATTCCTTTATACACTACACCAGAACCACCTCGGCCAATAATTTGCTCCTCCGAATAGTTATCAGTGGCTTTTCGGAGCTGTTCACTGCTAAACATAGTCACGACATCACTAGCCCCTGCTGCCTTGAGCTTTTGTTTCAGAAACACACCCCCATTTTGCTCAAAGAACTTTTCTCGTAGCTTCATCAGTTTCCTCTTCCTTATGCCAAAGCAAATTCCAGTTATTGCAGATGTGATGGCCAGAAAGCCAACAACCAAAACTACATGCGAAAGTAGAAGAAATGAAGCTAGCTCTATAATAAATAGTTGTTATTTTTAAAAATTATAACATAAAAGCATGTGCTAAAATATCCATAAGGTAACATTGCAGACCGAATGTGACTGAGAGAGAGACATGGAAAGATTAAAAGTATGCTTGTGTTCGTAAGTGGAATTATAGACGACCAAGATGTGGACTAACAATCAAAACAACATTATGCCAGAGAAATATGTCGTGTGTGTGGGACCTAGATTAAAAGACGTAAGCAATGCATAAATCAATTGAGCAAGATGCAGCGACTGTTAACTACAACAAGCAATGAGAGCTTAGGAATACCGTTGAACCCGTTGCCAATTGGCTAAAAATGTTGTTTGATGCCAGTGGTCGATCTTGACTTCATGTGGAGGTGAATTTAAATGAAGAACCAAATAAGCAAGGGAAGAAAGAGGTAATATGAGAGAATAGAACAAGTTTTATAAGGAATTGTAAAATGTATTAGGCTGAGAGAATAGAACAAGTATTATAAAAACTTATTAGAAAAATAAAGGGAAAATGACATATAGGGCCCTACGAACTTTCTAGGGTTTACCCGTGGAGTCCCTAAACTCTTTTCTTGGCTTTATGAGGGAACGAAATCGTTTTTGTCGGGTCAATTACGCCCTTTTGACCAAAGTGAACGAAATCGTTTTTGTCGGGTCAATTACGCCCTTTTGACCAAAGTGAAGGGATCCGGTTACCCCTTGCCATATTGATATTTGTTGACCAATTTGACTTTTAATTTTTCCTAACCTTGGACCCACATCTCCCTCTCTCCCAAGAACACAATCTACCAGCATCCATCGTCGTCTTCTTCCTCTCAACCTTCCTCTCAATCGGTTTACCCAAACACTAACATCTAATAAATACTTTTTCTACTTCTATTGAATTTCATTCGTTTACAATAAATTTCACCATTGTCCATACGTATTCTTTTACAATAAATTCAATAGATTTCACCAATTAAAAGACAATAATTTTTATCCTCTGTATCCCGTTTTCATCTGCCTGCTAATTCCATAAGCTGTTATAATGAAAATCAAAGGATAATCTGAAGAAGAGAAAATCGCAAGAATCAAGGGGTTTAATCTTCAAATCCAAAAATATAAACCAAAATATTTTTGCTTCCAAGACTTCCACATGTGCGTGAGAGTATCGTCTTCTTCCTACAGAAGACTATGATAGGAAAACAGGTAATTAACACACTCCGTTCTCCTCTAGAACACCGGGAACCGTTGTCTCTCTCCTCCACCCATACCGTCCGCCTCAACACCCGTGATCTGTGGTCGCTGACGACGAAATCAAGAATGCCAAGGGTACCACCGAAAAAAGGAGCTCCGTCCCCTTCAACGGATTTGCCGCCACCGGACCGAAATCCACCCTTCTTCCTTTGATTTTCTTCCTCCTTGATCGATTGAACTCCTCATAACCACCCCTCATTTGTTGTTGTTCAATTTCCGATGAACCTTCCTTCCCTTCTTGTGTTGCAGTCGGTCGGACCAGAAGAAGAAGGAGACGGACTGCAACCGCCTACTACTTTCGTCTTCCTTCCTCGACCGGTGCTCGCTGATCAGCCACAAACAATCACCCCATCGTTTCCTGTTTCCGTCCGCATCAATTTCCCTTCCAGATCTAATGAAGACGAAGGCCCCCCATTTTGTATATATTACGATTATTCAATCTGATACCTAACAATTATTCATTTGAGAGAGAGATGGGTGGGCCCAATTTTTATCTATGTTTCCCCTAAACCGGCTAAAACAAGTAAAAGGGACTAAAAAAACATGTTGCCTACAACTTGATTTCCTCTTAAGGCCACGAAAAAACTTAAGTGACTAAAATGGTTAATCCCAGAAACTTCATAGGGCGTATGTGTCATTTTCCCAAAAATAAATTTGTAAAACTTATGTCGAATTCGTAACAAAATTTTAAATTCCGGACAAATTTGTATTGTAATTTAAAATATATGCCTAAAATGTAAATTTTGAAAAAGAATAGGATATTCAAACTAACATAACACTTAGGTTGTGTTTGTTTTTTGTCTGCAGATCTGCGTGACCTCTTCTGTCTGCGCCGCGCAGACCACGCGCAGACATTATCATTCGCAGACTGTTTGTTTTTTTGAAGACTGCAGACCTAAAAATGTCTGCGCACCCTCTTCTTGGCGCAGATGTGGACCAGAGTCTTCTAATATCTTCAGACATCTTCTAGCCTAAAAAAACATATATATCTTTATTTTTTTTAAGTTTTTTTTTTAATTTATATTTTTTCCAACTTTATTAATGATAAACAATTTGAAAAAAAAAATTACAAAACTTAAAAAAAAACGTTCGACGATACAAACATGATATTTTTGACAAATTTATAAATAAATATTTATTACAATAATAGTCGTTGAAGTTGTTTATATAAATATGAAAAAAAAAATCATAATATATATTCTTATATTTTTTTGCCAAATTTTGTAAAACATTATTTAATATTGTATCATCAGTTTCTCGAAAAAAATATTTATGGTACGTTTTTAATGGATTTAATTGAAAAAATCGAAGTTTATTTCCATCCATTTATGTATCAAATTCTTTGATCCTTAATTATAATGTTTAGTTATAACTTTGCAACCAAAGTTGTTGGTTTTTTATCAAATATATACGTTAATTCATACCATTTTTATTTTTATTTTTTATACAATGATACATAAAAGTTGATCTAGATTCGTTAATTATTTATAACAAAGTCATAAAAATTTTAAAAAATCACTTTGAAGTTTAAAAAAATCAGTTTATTTAGATTTCAGTTTATTTTAGTAGCCCGCAGATGTTAAAAAAACAAACAGTCTTCTTTTTTCAGACTGCAGATGTTTGGTCCACCTCTTCTACTGCAGAGGTCTACAGATGTGGTCCGCAGACTGCAGACATATTGCCTCAGAAAAAACAAACAGCACCTTAGTTATCTTTTAAAAATATAATACCGTTAGAGGGTTCTTGATATGTTCAACATGAGATTATAAGAGAAAAACAAATGTTTTAAAAACCGGTTTTTTGTTGAATCGGTTTGGTGATCGGTTTCCGGTTCAACCGGCTTAACCGATTCGACCGCTGAGTAAACCGATTTCTATAATCATCATTTTTTTTTCATATTTTACTACACATACATACATACACAAATTCAAACATTAAAATATACATGAAAACAAGTTGTAGATCAATCTAAATACATTAAAATAACACATAACCATAAGTTTTACATAAATCCATGTGCATTAAAAAGAAAATAAAGTCCTAGCTGAATATAAAACAAAAAAAACTTCATAACATTTATCATTTGCTTTTATTCAGAAAAATTTTAATAAATGTGAAAAAACTATCAAAGTTTATTATGCAAAAGGTTTCAATTTCATGTGTTTTTATTCAATTTAACTGGTTCAACCAGTTTAATTGAACCGGTTCAACCGGATTTTTGTAAAAACCGGCTGGTTCGATCTAGTTCAAAAATAGACGTAAAATCGGTGATAGTTGAACCGCTTCCTTCCCCGATTCCCGGTCCAACCGGTTCAACCGGCCTGTTCAAACCGATTTTTAAAACATTGAGAAAAACATAACTGAAAACATTAATAAAGATATTCAAAATTATTAAAAGGTTCTTAACCAGTTTTCCATTCTTATTGTTCCCACTTTATTAGATAGAGTTTTGTAATATATTGAACTCACAAAAGTATTCTTATTGTTCCCACTTTATTAGATAGAGTTTTGTAATATATTGAACTCACAAAAGTTTAATATATTGATAGCATGATATACCATTATTTTTATTTTTTATATAACTCTAATCAAAAAATTCTATAATGCATTAAACTTTATAAAGTTTAATAATATATATATATATATATATATATATATATATATATATATATATAATATTATAAAAAAATATTTTTTTTCTTTCACCCCATACATTTGAAACCACCAAACTCTTCATATTTCATTCTAATATATCTATCTTATTAATTTAAATATATTATTTTTGTTTTGAATTATCAATATATAGTATAAAAATGTCCTACGGTCACATATTTCGAAAAACGGTCTGTCACACTTTATATTAAAAGTGTGGCAAAAGGTCAGTAAAAAAATTTAGAGACTATTATTGGATACATTTAAATTAGTTAGTGTAGCAATTGTATAGATAATCAAAACATTAACTACATTTATTTATACTAAATGTGATAATTATTAGCCACAATATTTGATAAAATAATTGGTTATAGCAACAAATTCTCTACCCAATAACCACACTTTGATAATACGTCCACATTTTTTCATATCATACAGACACTAAATTTTAAAGTAACCATAAGACTCATACAATGGCATCACATTCCGTCACATTTATATGGTGTGTGTAGGTCATTTTGTACTAATGATAATATATTTAATAAACTTAAAATTATTCAAAGACTATCCAAGTTAACTTAAAAATATCAAAAATTAATTTCTACAACAATTCAAAATTTTCTAAATAAATGATTTTTAAATTAATTAACAATAATAATATTTAAACGTAACATGACCTTATAAATTATAGTTTATAAAAAATGTCAAATAAATATTTTTAAATTAATTAATCGTAACGTTAAAAGTTTTAATATATGATATAATATGATTCAAAATCTTTATAATTTTATATAACAAATTAGTGTAAAAAACTGTTATTTCGTGGTTAATATTAAGAATATAATTATTTTCGAAATGTATTTTCCAAAATTTTAATTATTTATTTTTATTTTGGCGCAATACGCGGGTATTCGTCTAGTTTTTAATAATTAAAAAGATTTTTTTCTTATTGAGAAGTTCAATTGTCATTGAATATCGTATCCATTAAATGCCAACAT